GACCAGGTAACCACTGCCTTTTAAGACGGGTGCTTGTTGCAAACGGATTTCGTCTGACCAATCTACCAAGGTTGTTACAGATGGTCGACCAGATCGAGGACGGTCCTTAACATTCTGGGTGGCAACATGTTTTCTGACCAAACGGCTGATCACTGTGTAATGATAACCAAGCTGTCTACCTATCGCCTTGTAGGACATACCATCGGAATTCATGCCAATAATTTTCCATCTCTGCGCCTCTGATATCCGTCTTCTTGCCATTCTTACTTAAAATGATTTTGCATTCAGAAATTCGGGACTTAAATACGGATTTGATGCACGAGAAAATAGTGCATATTGGACGTGAAGAAGGAAGCAAGTTGCACGTGGGGAAAAAAACGAGCCTGATTTAAATGTCACACCTGAACGCTCACATCCTTTTAATTATGTTTGAAATTATGAACATTGCTCAACATCATGAAAATTAAACCTTATTTTCAATAAGCAATCCTGAAAAATATTTGAGGGTGCTTAACTTTTTTCCAGGTGTATATATATGTCTAAGCAATCAATTACAGACAAGGAAAGAACTGTTTTTCATTAAAGATTAAAGCAAAAGTAAATTGTTTTATAATTAATTGTGTATGGGGTACTGTGCTCATACTATTTGCATATAATCTTGATTTTAAAGTTTATTATGAAATGAATATCCAAAGGTAGTCTTATCTTATTTTCATGGCTAGCAGGTAAAGTGGTATAGAAGTTTACTAAAACTTTGTTTTGCAAATATAATGATACAGACACTATTAAATCTCATGTACTTTGTACAGTTTGATATTTTAGGTTTGGGTTTGATTTTCTCTAGTTTTATTTATCAATGTTTTAAGTGCTTGTATACATATTTAACATCTACACTTAAAGTAGTAATCCTTACATTAAAAGATCACAGTTGTCAGTTCCCAGCTACTTCCTCATGTGCATAGTTTTTACATATCTTTTGAATGTAAAAATATAACAGTATTATTTTATTAGTCTGTAACATTATTACAAAATCAGTCTTAATTTATAATGAATAATAGGCATTGGAGTACCCATCTTACTAGCTTATGTTTATGGAGTAGTCCCTATTTCTCTGTGTCGTTCTGGAGGCTGTGGAGTGACCACTTCAGGATCTGGAGTGAGATTTGAATTTGATGAAGATAATGACATTTGTGTTGCAACAGGTAAGGTAATGTTTTTACATTGTTTATGTTTTATTTTCTACAGTAAGTCAAATTGTTTAAGAATGATAGATCTGAAGTAGTTCTTTGTATGTTTCAGTATAGGTCAAACATTTTTGTAAGTTCATAGTTCTGAATTTGTAGTTTGTATATTCTGGGGTAAGAAAGACCATTTTATGTGAATAATGTTAAAGGTAGTAATATATACATATATAATTAAATGTAAATTCATGGGAAAAAATTGCAGCCACAATATAAACAACTGACACTGGGGCACAAATCATAAGGTGGGTCATTATGTAATGTGCTCTGGTTTTTAGAGGTACTGGTGGAAGTAACAACCAAATTGCATTGGGGGTACACCATCTATCCAGTTTATTCTCAATTTTGCCAGCCTGTGTGTCGATAAGTTTGGTATCAAATTATAGATTATAATTCAAATTTTAGTATTATGCATTAGTAATTTCTAATTTAAATGTAATGTTTAAAAAAAATCCCTAATTTCGATTTTTGTGTGTCATGTGGTTTGTTGAATGCAGTATTGGTTCAGATTAGATGTTTGTGATGTCCAAATACAAAGTTCAATAGTTTCTTACAAATTACATACTCAAATTACTGATATTGACAAGCTAGATTATAAGATAAGAATTTCCTATCTTTTCCATCTTCTGAGATACTAATATAGTTATTGGATCAACCAAAGTGGCCTTACCCACCTCTTGCATTTTTGAAAATACTTACTTATGTACACCTACTTTGCAAAGTATTTGCATGGGGAACTCTTTCTTTTCATGCTAGATTCCACACAGTAAGGTAAGACATTAGTTACTAAGCTTCATAAGTTATGGTAGAATTCTGTGGTATTGATATAGTAATTTATGATTTTTTGTTATTTGAAAATGCATATATAAAAAAACAAAAAAAAATTTTGTTTTATATCCTCCACATGCGAAATTTCATAAGGCTTAGCAACTTATGGCAAGCAGCAAAGGAATAAAATGTTCATAATTAGAAAAGATAATTGTTTTATATACTTCTTTATTTAGTGTTCTTTGTTTTAAGAAAAATAATATAGATTTAACAACTTATTTATAACTGAAATGTGACTGTATTTTATAAAATACTGGTCCAGTAGAACACAGCCAAGACAGGTAACTTTGTATAGGTCAGTTTTACATTCTTGGATACTGTAAGATGAGTGTACATACACTTTGTCATTGCAACTTCTGTAATGTTAGTCAGGCATGGCTAAAAGGTCAATAAAATTAAAATAATAAATATATATATATATATATAGATGTATAATGTTATTAGATTTAAGCTATTTAGTCTAAACATTTGTGTTATAATTTGTAGACATTCTAGAAAAAAAACATAATTTATATCTATTTTCTCTTTTTTTTATGGTGGTTACGAGGTCAGTCAAATTGACCAAACCCATACAGAGATACAGTAGTGAAAATAACAGATAAAATATAGTTTTTTCTGTAAAAACGTATGCTAATTATCTGGAGGTTATAAAGATTTTGCATGTGAAATTGGAAAATTTTCTGATGCATAAAAGTATTTTTCATTTTAAAGTCAAAATTATTTTGCATGTTGGAGAGTTAACATTCAAAAAGAAAAAATGCATGAGGAAAACATTACTTAAAAAATCTTAAAACTTAATAAAAAAAAAATCTGATATTTTGTGTACGAAAGCCTTGTAATGTTTACTGATAGTCTGCAAAATTTTGAGAAGATACGCTCACTGTATTAAAAGTTATAGCATGAAAACTATAACAAGCACAAAATGGTTATGAAGTCAGTCCCTGGGATCAAGTGAAAGAGTTAATGGTAATAGTTTGTATATATTATGGGAAATAAGACCTGTTATTTAACTGTTAGTGATAATAGTGTATATATATTTTTTGGAAGACAATAACATTTTAGTTTAATAACTGGTAAACACAGTTTCTTAAGATAGGTAAGACTGTCTTAGGTTGTAAATCTCGATACTTCACTATGTGTACATTTTTTTTTAACAATTGGTTAAAGGTAACACAGAATACTGTAGAAATTTATTTCTTTTGAGAATGATGATTAAACTAAAAACTAGTGAAATACTTCAATGTTTGTATAACTGGTAACTAGATGGCATGAGTGTGGACACAGCAATGAGCCAAAGAGGAGTCAACCCCAGTATTGGAGAAGTTTCTTTTGGCATGTCCACCAGTATTAGTATGGGCAGCGGTAGCCATCTGGAGAGGGTAGATTTGATTCGAGAGAGTGACGGGGAGAGTGCCAGTAATACTGCTCTAGCTGGCAGTATAGCAAGTGCCACCTTAGCAACAAATGCATCCCAAAAGTAAATGCATACATTTTTCTGTCGTTTAAAGTTATATATTTTGTTTTCTGAATTTAATTTTTTTGTTAAGAGTTGTGCTAAATAGATTTCCACTGATTTATCATGCACACTTATTATTTATGAAGTTTCTTTAAAATCAAATTAATAGTGTAATTGTTATAGATTTATTTTTCTCGATTATGTTCAGGTGTATGTGAAGAAGCTGCTTTTATAGTTGTAAACTTTAAGGTTATACTGGGCTGTATTTTTAAAAAACTCAATATTCAGTGTGCAATTTTTTTAAGGTGTTTAAACTCTTAAATCTTCTTGAGTTGTGCTGTGTATCGACTCTATACCTAACCACCAACACAATTGGCATGTACATAAAATGTAAAGATAAAAATTCCAGTACACTGCATGTAACAAATGGTGCATGTAGAACAACTTCACACTTCTGTATTTTATACTTCCAAGTCATACAGACTTCACACTTTGCACACATGACAACTACCTGCAAAAACACAAGAACAAATTTAATTCTGCTTGTATTTGTTATGTCACCTCTGAACTCTTTCCTGGTTACAGTATGCGATATTGCATCTGCTTTTCAAAACTGTCTTAAACTTCATAAACATCCTACTATTGATTTAATAACATTTGTTTTCTACCGATGAAATGGATCACTGGTTTTTCTTATTTAATATTACAGGCTTTGAATACTATTTCTAATTAAACACGTGTTTGTTGATCGGAATTTCTTTGTTGCATTATTTGGTTAATTACCACATATTATACTTTCTGTGGCATTCAGTTCACCATAATATTACTAACTAATTCTCTCTCTCTAGAAAATTATAAAACCCTAAAATATTTGCTATCAGCAGTTGTTTCATAACAAACCTTCTACAAATTGCTACTAAATGTGATTAACATACTAAAATGCTAATGGTTTTGGGTTCCCATACTCCACTAGCAGTACTGTACTATAATAGCTATGACATAACACTGTATATTACATTAACACCCTCGAAGTGAAAACAGGGATGTGGATGTGAAAATACACATGTTTGACCACAATGAATTGAAAATGCATATATATATATATATGCATGAAAAAAAATCCATTATTTGCATTATTGTTGACCATTCTTATTTGAGCCTGGCCCAATCGGTAGCATGCCACACTGTGGTGCTGGTGTTTTCTGGTTTGCATCCTAACACCAAAAAGCAAAATTGCTCTCTGCATTTTGGGGCCATAGATTCATTATAACAAAAAAAAAATGAAGTCAAATCCCATCGTTTTGGTTTGACAAAAGTAGCCCTGAAGCTAGTGACTAACTGCCTTCCCTCTAATCTATCTATTTAAAATTAGGGATAGCTAGTGTAAATAACCCTTATCTGGCTCTGCATGAAATCCAACAAACATTTGATTTTTATTACTGTCCATGAAACTCAAGTTTGTATTTGTAAAATTGAAGTTTGTTCTTTTAGTATACAATTTCTTGTGCATTTCTAGCTATTATCTAGCTGCATTAGATTATAAATTCAATACTAGAATAACTTTTTCTAATAAATCTGTTGTATTTCTAGATTAGAAGTTCAAGCTGACATTTCCTCCAACAATAGGCTTAGTTTAAGCAGTCACAGTGAGACAGCCTCAGCTACAGTAAGTCTTAGTGAACGATCTGCTAACCTGTCTATTGCTGATGATGCTAGTATGAAAGCACTTGCTGGATCTCTTCTTGGCCACAGGTAAATGTGCTTGATTTAAGCTATTTTGATAAGAGTTGAAAAATTTAAGCTAAGTGGTCATAGTTATCTGTACTTCTTATAAGTGAATGTGATTACTTGTTTAGTCTTCAGACAAGATGAACTACCTCATAAAGTTCATTCTGTACTGAATTAATAAGCAAAAAATTTAGTAAGTTTAATGTAAGATGACGTGAGCTTCAATCTAAATACATTTTAGTATATAAAATTAACAGATCTTTAGCTAAATCCAATGAATTTAGTCTTAAGATAACATAAATTACTATGTAACATTTATATTGAAGTAACAGACCAGATGTTTAGTTTAATAGATGTAATCCTCAGATATCGTCAGTCGCTGTAGTAGCAAGTATGAAGTTAGGGTTAGCAGGTATATTTTCAGGATATTATATGTTACTGTGCAGTCTTTGAAGTAAATTAATTTCTTATTCACTAATTTAGCAACTTCTCCATTAAATCTACTCATTAGAGTGTAAAGCACCAGCTTGGAATAAAGTCACTTTCATAAAGTAGATCTACTATTTCTGTCTTCTGCATACATGATTTATGAGTTATGTTTCAAATAGATTTGGTGATTTTTTTGTGACATAAGAAAGATATGAAAAATTAACATTATTAAATTGTATACCTTTTATAATTAGTTGTTCTTGCCTTACTCCTTTAGTGTTCTTAAATGACTGAAATCCCATATATTTAAACCATATTTTATAATATTAACTAGCAAAAGTACCTGGCTTTGCTCAGATTATTAGGTTGATAATGTGTTTATTCTGAACCCATTTTAGCATAAAAGTATATTCTATATACTTTTGTTGCTAAGCAACATGACATAAAAGCCATTGTTGGAACACATTGTTACCAAACTGCACTGGCTTTTCTATATATTAGAAGTTGTTATATAAGGAATCATTTCTTTCCTATGTGGTTTTTTGCTAGCTTTCCTCATTAGAATTAATTTATCGACGTTTGACTGCCTCGACTGCACTTTTCTGCCTCTTTGTTGCTCAAGCTTGATTTAGTAAAATTTATTTATTTTGGTTGGCTATCAAATGTGAGATTAGAGTATACTATGAGGTGGGATTGTTAGTACTTGCCCCATCATTTTTGACGAGCTATGTGCTAGTCCCATAATAGTTAAAACAATAGGGTAGTTTTGGCTATTATGGGATGTTTTAGAGTGGTTTTTAAATACTATGAGATGTTATACTGTCAAGAGTGCTTTCATGCTCCTTTTTTGGTAATGATCAACAATATATATATCATCGCTTAGCAACAAAACTATTATGGGATGTTATAGAGTATTTTAACTTTTATGGGATGTTATAAAGTGTTTTCTAACTATTATGGTCTATTATAGAGTGCTTGTTTAACTATTATGGAGTGTTATAGAGTGATTTCTTAACTATTATGGGATGTTATAGAGTGGTTTTTAACTACTATGGGATGTTATAGTGTGTTTTAACTATTATGGGATTAGCATATAGCTCATCAAAAATGACAGAGCAAGTACTACCACCCCACCGCATAGTATACCCTAACTTCACATTTCATAGGTAACTAAAATAAATAAATGTTGCGAAATCAAGCTTGATCAACAAAGAGGCAGAAAATGGGATGTTATTTTGTCGTGAATGCTTTCACGTTCCTTTTTTGGTAATGATCAACAATATATATCATCGCTTAGCAACAAAACTATTATGGGATGTTATAGTGTGATTTACCTATTATGGGTTGTTATACGGTAGTTTGTAACTATTATAGAATATCTTCTATGACATTGCATAATAGTTACACACTATAGCATCCCATAATAGTTAAAACTACTCTATAACATCCCATAATAGTTAAAAACCACTATAACATCCTATAATAGTTAAAGAAAAACACTATAACATGCCATAATAATTAAAGAAAAACTTTATAACATTTCATAATAGTTAAAACACTAACATTCCATGGCGGACACATTTCTATGTAGTTTTTTGCATAAAGAGATGCACATGTGTGCACACACACCTAGATAAGTATTAACACCCAGGTGCATACCCTCAGGGTTCACTTAGAATGGGTGTAAATTTTCAGGTTTCTAGGTTCTTTGCTCTTGGAGCTTATAGGAGTAACATATTCTTTTCTATGTGGTTTTTCACTAGCTTGCCTCATTATAAAAATACACTTGTGTGCATGCACATGGATAAGTAATAATATATAGGTGCACACCCTCAGGATCCACTTAGTAGGGGTGCAAAATTTCAGGTTTCTAGGTTCTTCCTTCTTGGAGTTATGGCATTCACAGACACATCATTTTATTATTATAGATTACTTTTTAATTTTTGTGAATACTTATATTAACAGAAACACTACTCACTGCTACAGTGTGATGAGTTGCCTTTAGTTACATTTTTTGTATAAGACATGGAGTAGCAAGTACAAAATCTCATTAAAAAGTGTGTTAAAAATAGTATGTTAACATTCTTTCACATTAATTTAAAAAATTTCAGTAATTACAAGTGACAGGTGATTGTTTTTTAAAATAAAAACGTTTGTTCTTAACATAACATTATGAATATGTTCTGATTTTCAGTCTTACATCTTGCTGGAACTGTGCTGACTTGCAATTGACATGAATCCATCTTCTCTCTTCATGTCTGGGGTAATTTCCCTTTTTTAATTACCTGATTGGATCAAGTCTATATCCATGGTTTCATATTAGTGATTTTTTTTTCACAGTCTTGAATGTGATGTCCTTGTTTTCGACACTTATGGCAGTGTCATTCTATGGGAACGGTGTCTATCAATCTGTATTTTTAAGTTACAGCTGAAACACCATCTATTTTGTGGTTTAGTTCATCCATCCATGGTAAACAGCTCTACTTAACTCTATGTTAATGGCATTAGTGCATTGCACACACACACACACCCCACCCCCCACCTCCATAGTTTTCAGAAGTTAATAAGAAAACAGCCAGACATCCTTACATTACCATATAGCATCATAAAGAAACATTAGATGTCAGTGTTTTTATTTGATTGGGCTATTAATTACCATAAAAGCTTCTTGAAGTTTTCTGAAATCAACACAGCTGAAGTCTAGAGCAATCCAGGTAAGGCCTCAACCAATTAGTGATATTTTTATGGTTTCAACAGGTAGTAAATAAAAGTAAGTTAAAGCTATCACTATATTAATTCCAGAAGGTATATTTCCTTTCCATTTTAGAGATACAGTGGAAGTTCATGTTGATGCTCAGAGTATGGGTGAAGATACTCCTCATCCTCAAGGGATACTGAAAACTGGGGAAGATGGTTATGATAACACAGCCTCTGAAACAAATGATGGTGTTTCTATAAAAACTGAAGACTCTTGTAATTCTTGTTGTTGCAGTGAGGATGGGGCTTCCCACAGTAGTTACAGGAGCAGTGGAGGACACAAATCTCGGTGGTGGAAGGCATCTGGTCGGCGGCAGCAAGGGGGAATAAGTTGTACTATTGTATCTTCCAGTATCCCAGAAAGCCAGTCTGAACCACAGAAATCTTTCAAAGAATGTAGTGTAACTTTCATTGATGAAAATCGTAGCATAGGTAAGGGGCCAGGAATAGGAAAACGTGTTGATGAGGGGAAAGGTGTAAAGCCAAAATCTTCAGTTTCATCCAGAGGTTATAGTGTTGATAGCTCTCTTGGGGAAACTGACCAGATGTGCTTTAGTGAATTGAAGAAACTAACTACAACATGGAGTGATCACCACCCTAGAGCTAGACAAACTTCAAGATCAGGTTTCTCCAGCAGAAAGAATTCCCAGTCTGTTCCAGAAACTCACCTTCTTGATTGTATAGAAACTCAATGTGCCAAATCAGTCAGAACAAAGTCTTGTAATTTTGAACAGGAAGGATTAGTTCAGTGTGAAGGTGGGTCTGCTATATTCATTCGCAAAATATATGACAACTTGAATGACAAAATGTCTAGAGAATTTCCACAAAATTCCAATGGTAGATCTATTTCAGTCCTTCCTCATATTGAGGAGCCAGAGTATAACAGCTGGAAAAACTGTCCAACTCGACCACGTAGTGCCCCTTATTCATTGCTTTGGCAAAATGATTCTCCAGTAAATGATGATGGTGGTAATCTTACTAAGTGTTCAGACACGTAAATAAGAGGTAATGTTATTAATGTAGATTGTTTTTGTAAAGGAGTAATGAATTCATAACTTAATTAATTTTTTTACTTTTCAAAAGAAAATTAGAAAATAAATGTTAAAAGATTAGTAAAGTAAGCACTTTAAGTATACATCCTCAGAAGTGAAAAACATAGATAAGTATTGGAACTCAAGTACCATTATATGTTAAGGATCTTATAAGTATTCTCAGAAACTGTATGTAACTTAGTTAGTTATACTGTTTTCGATGCATTCTTGTGTATATTTCATAGCCAATTGTGTTTTGGGACATCATAAATTAAAAAATGTTATTAGTATTCTCAGAAAAAATGTAGCAAGAAACTCTTTATATAACATAGTTAGTTTCACTGTCTTCAATGCAGTTTTGTGTATATTTAATAGTAAATTATGTTTGGGGGCAACTGGCAGAATTTTTCTTGGAGGCCTTTATGAAACTGTGTAATTTAATTCAGGTATTCGTAATATTGTTTGGTACAATTCTTCTTGCTTTTATTGCTCATAAAAAAAAAGAAGCAAACAAATTTCCTAGTCCAAGCAACAAATTTATAAACATGTATACTGTCTTTTTTTTTAAATAAAGATTAAATTTGTTAAATCTTCAGATATTGAGAGAAAAACTGAGTTTGTTTGTTTGTTGACGTATTTTTAATGTTTCTTATTTCAAGATGGGGTAGTTTTGTACAAATGTTACTAGCTGTGACTGAAAGATTACTAATGAACAGCTCCTTAATAGTTATGACTAAGAATATTAAGGAGAATGAGATTGAATCAAGTGATTTACAGAATACAACATTTTCTAATCTTTAATTGCTTAAGGAGTACAAATTAAATGTGAAGTGTGGTTTGGTCCATGATGCTGCAGGTACTAAAAATTGTACTCAAAGTAGCCATCAGAAAATGTAATTTACTAAGTTTTATATATGTTAAGTCAAGTTCTGGCTACTAATGTACCATGTAATGTTCCCAGACAAATATTTGAACATTTTACAACAAGCTTTCAGTGCTATGCTCAAGGTTACAGCTAAACTATGTGAATGTAACTGATATGTACCTTTTTCTTATTGTAGCAAACATAGAATTTATATGAAGTGTTTATAAAAACTTTTGACAGTACTGGTGATAGTAAAACTGTAGTGTTAATACGATGTTCCTGTACCACCAGGTGGTTGGATTTTGATATAAAATAGAAATGATTTTCCATTGTGTTTTGTTTTTTTAAATATTCTAAATTAACAGATTATAGTTTTCTCTTTGTTTTTACCATATGATTCAGATTTTTTGAAAGAGAATCAAACTAGTTTTGAACTTTTTGAAGAGTTCTGAGCTAGCATTAATTGGATGTACTGTCAGAATCAATTAGGAAGTGTTGTAAACTTTATGAAGTGTATAGTAATGTAACAAGGATTCACCACTTTTGTCATGGTTTAACATTGCAGTGAATATGAGAATAAAATATTAGATAACCTAAGCTTACAGTATTATTTAATACTGGGACAACGTTATATGTGTATGTTTTTGATTGTGATATTTAGTCAATTTAATGTTCATTGTTTGTTGTACTGTGTACATATATAATGTATCAAAACTTAAATCAAGGAAGTTTAGAAATTAGATTTTAAAGCGATGGCATGAACACGAACTTAGTCATTGTTTATTCTATCTCTCTTTTTTTTTGTTACTTCTTTTCCTGGTTCAATGTTGTAATTCTGTCTTTCTTCTTGGCAGTGGTATTACAACAAGATGGTATTACTTTCATGATGGTGACAAACTTTTTGTATGTCTAACATTTATTATAATGTAGTGGTGTACATGTAATACATTTTTGGTAAATATTATGTCATCCAAATATGTATGCCTAATGTTGGATAACTTATCAATACTTGCACTTTATTATTATAGGTTGGGTAAAATATTTGTCATCCCAACTTAATTTGTTTAATACCATATCATTATGCACAAATTATTATTCTGGGTTAATCATGGTAGACTTTACCTGATGCTATATTATTTTGTGCACATTATTGTTATGGGTAAAGGCATGTTATCATCTCAATTTACCTGTTTATTGATGGATATAATGGCATCCCAGTATTCTCAGCTAGATGTTGGACATTTTACATCATCATAACCACCTTATTATGCTGGATAGGATGAGGTGTCGTTTAAACTTGTCCTGCATTTTGCACTTGTGGTCATGCACAGGATAAGAAATGTTGCCATCCCAGCTTACTGTGCTTTACGTTTTGTAATATATCATCATGTACTCATTATAATTTTTTGATAGGACGTCATTTCAGTTTGTCCCTTTTGACTTTTGTCTCAATTAATACTGCGCCTGTCATATCCCAGCTGGCTTGATGAGCCCTGGTATTGGGCAGAAGGCCTTGTCAGTGCTGCAACTTGCAGATATAGTATGGTTGACCTATTGTTATACATTCTTTACTTTTCACTCTCAAGTTCTTAGAATTTGATATTTTTCCTATTTACATTATTATTATGACTAAGATAAGATAAGTTCTCATCCTAAGTTACTGTACTTGATATTTAATAATACATCATAACATGCTCAGTATTTTTCATATGAAAAATTGCCATTCCAGGCAGTAGCATCAAGGTAGGGTGTGAATCACCTCTTAATGAAATTAGCCATTTGGTAAAATTCATCTTCCAGAAAGTCCTTGGGTAAAATTTAAGTTTAGGTTTTTAAAAAATATAAAATGAAACAAACTTAATTTTTCTAAATGGTGAAGCATGTGATTTACATAGTTTACCATATGCAAACACATCACATTGCATTATTATCTTCCATGCTTTTAGACTTCAAATTCTAGCGAATGGTGCAACATTTGCTTTAGCAAATGCAAAACCATTTGGTAACACAAAGTTTCACGTTGGATTGTTATTTATTATTTCTATGTCTTTCATTCATTCCATAGCTGAAGTTTCATTGAAAGGCTCATGTTATTTGCAGATGAGGATTCTGAAAATCCGACAAGAATAAAGAAGGAATCTTTAACTTTTACTGAATAATAATGAGTTTGACTTTAACAAATGCAAAACTGTTTGGTAAAAACAAACTTTGTACTTATGGTATTCTCAGATTCACTGATTTCCTCTCAAATTAAATAGGTAGGAAGCCACAAAATAACTAGAGGTTCGATGGAAACTGTATCTAACTGAGTCTGACACAAAGAGACTGAATACAAAATTGTATAAAGCAACAACCTTTATTTAAACACAAATCAAGTTAACAATTAAACAACGGGCAAGTGTTTAAAGTACTTCATATGGTGAAAACTGAAAAAAACAATTCAGTTTCACAGTTAAGAAAGTCAAAATACCTGTTCTGAATCTCAAATTTCTAAGTGTGTAAGAATATCTTTTAAACAAAGAATACGTTTAAAAGCTCAAAGTTCACAAATCTGTATAAGCTGAAAATCTATCTAAAACAATGAAAACAGACATATATGCAGTACACTTTCTTCTTTCCAGACACGTATTATCCCATATGACTGAGAGCCACCTCAAGTCAACAAGGGATGTCAAGCCTTTAACATATAAAATACTATTTTGGGACAACATGGGATCTCACTTAAATTTACTGCCTCTATGACATCTGAAGGTAACACATTCCAAAAGCCAACCACCCTGTTAGAAAAATAAAACTGTCTTAGCTGAAGATGACTCCTACCTTGTCAAAGTTTATATTTGTGTCCCCTTCTCCTACTATTCTCATTCTTAAATATAAAAAAACATGATACATCAACACTATCAATTCCTTTTACAAGCTTAAACACCTCAATCAGATCCCCGAAAGCAAAAGAAAATTTAAAAATCTCTCAAATTGTTTTCTCTTGAAAACAAAAAGGAGAGGCTGGGGTTGTCATACGAAATTGTTGGAAATGGTTCAGAGAAGGGTTACTAGAATGGTGCCTGGGATGGTAATGTCTTTCCTAAGGTAAGGAGCCCAAGTCTGAACACAATATTCC